ATTAGTCTGAATATACTTCTCTGTTATATAGACATAGATTGCACCAATATCATTATTTCTCTGCATGTGGAAATGTGTTGCCACAAGTTAAAATTTTTCTATTTAGTTTTTACATTCTATCCTTTCCTGTCTTGTTCTTTTTTCCCCCTCTTTGCTGTATGTGTGAAAGGGGGATAGCTTGAAGGAATAGTTGAAAGTGAAAGAGAGTGAAAGGGAGAGAAACCAGTTCTGGTGGATATAAAGAAGAGAAGATTTCAAATGCTGCAGCTGCATACAAGAGGAAGGGTTTGTGTATAAGGAACAGAATTGGATGAGGTTTAAAAAAATCTGTTTTTAATAAAAGTGTATCAACACAGGACCTTTGAGAAACAAAAGAAAATGTGAACAAAACAGAAAACAAACTTCATTGCCCAAGCTACATGTGAAAAGATGTAAGGATAAAAACCTCTATATACAGATATAATAGTCTCTTGTTAATTCAAACTCAGAGGGAGCCTAAAAAGTTTGAAAAGGACACAAATTCTAGATGCTACAGAACAAAAGCAGAAATGATTTTAACAACACATTAACACCACATGGCAAACAGAATAATGTTTAATCAATGAGAAATACAAAACAAAGATATAGTAGTGCATTCAAAGAAAAAAATTATTGGAAAACCATGACAAATGAGTGCCACAGGGCAAACTGTAAACTGTCCTAATTGTGTGTCAACTGATTTGAAATGTTTTTAAATTTTAATGTATTAATTATTTTTAAATTTAAGTTTAAAAAATTAATTTATTAATTTTTAATTTCAAACTTTACTGGGGATCATTCTCATATGCCTATTGCCATGCATATGATATCATGTTGTTATCCTTGTAATTTATGCAGGGTACTGGAAAAAGTAGAAATATATAAAGCCAACAGAGCATAAACTACAAGGATAACAACACAATATCATATGCATGGCAATATGCATATGAGAAGGATCCCCAGTAAAGTTGACATCTTAATCACAGAATTTCGGGTGAAAAAATTAATATGAGGATGCTGGGCCTATATAATGGAGAATGACACAAATAGCCAAATATTTGATATTAAATAATTTGAACACTTAAATTAATTGGCAGTTTAAAATTTAAACTCTGAGCATTCCAAAGTTAGAACACCATTGAACCTGAAGCAGATCTCGATAGAGATTCAAAAACGTTTGTTCTTGCATCTAAATATAGTACCTTACTGGAAATAAAAAGGTTCTGAAAGGGTTAGTTATAAGTTCCAGTATTCAAATAGTGTAAAGCATAATGTTAAATGCAGACTTGTGGCCAGCCACATCACATGACCTTAAACACATACCTCCCATGTATAATGATGCTACTTCTTGACATATCCTTTCCAACTTTATCTAGAAGCATCAATATATGGGGTGGTATATTTGTTGTGGGTTGTAGTGTAACTGGCTACAAATCTGAATTTAATGTTATACTGTTATATTTAATCTAATTTATGTATAATTATAACTTTCCTTGTAATTTTAAATTTCAAAAAGTTTGAATGTAGAGATGTTCTCTCTTTCAAATGTATTCATTCTAATGCATTTGATAATTTTCTCAGTTGATGATGTTCTTATAAAAATAAAAATGCTTCTAAATAATATTTAATTTGGTTTCCAGAATTACATATCTTTTTTCTCATCTTTTTGAACTTTTTCTTTTTCCAGCTGAGTGCAGGTTGAATCTTCATGCATTCTGGTCAGTGGAAATTTTCTCTAAATTGTTAGTGCCAAGAAGGGATAATTAAGTGAGATGAGGATTGAAAAGAGTAATTAAGACAAAATTAGTTAAAATGTACAGTACAAATGGATAATAGACCATAATGACAACAATCTATACATTCTATTACCTACATAAATTTTTTGTTTATTACTTAAGTAGAAAAACATACAAAATAGTCATACAATTCGAAACATAAGACTGTATATTGGATCTCTCAGTATAAAATATCTGTATGACAAATTCAATGGGCAATGAAATGAAGTTCAGATTTAAAAATTAAATTAATTATTTATTTTGACATCATCACAATGCCAGGCTGCAATTTTAATCATCTTTTAATTTTAAAAAATCACATGATTTCCTGTCCCAACTGGAAGTTCGTGGAGTCTCTGACCCCTAAGCTTTCTATATATGCTCTCGATTTTCATAAGTCCAACTCCATTCTTGAGATTAATGAAAGACAGACAGTGGGAATGTATAAATCTGCAATTTGAAAATTAAAGCCCAACAATAGATGGCAGTTCACTTTGGGACACTGTTATTTATATATTAATTAATAATTATTATATGAAATAGTTTTTGTAATTAAGATGTTAATGAATTGGACATAAATCCAATATGGTATGGTCTCCTCAAAATCTAAATTTGATGTATGACAGTTCATTTTAGGACATTGTGAAAGATAAGATATTTACAGTATATTTAAAAACAACTATCAGGGACTGTTTTAATAACTTCAAGTATCAACATTGAAAAGGAAAGCAGAAGAATATGGGAAGATAGTGCTCAGGAAGAAAGTTAAAAAAATGTGAAGAGAAATTAAAATTTCTGCAGAGAATAGAAGACAGCATACAGACAATTTCTAATTAGAGTATAGAGGCTGTCCATAAATGATGTCCATACTGGAAGGGAGGGAAAAGATTATGACAAGTCAGATGAAGCCAGACAGGGGGAAAGGAGGGTTGAACTTCAGTGGATGTCCATTTTATTTTATGAAATTTTATACAGTTTATGCATTTTATTATATCTATTTCAAAATTTCTTGTATGTTTCATTTCTACTTATGGTATCTATCATTCACAAAGTGATAAAGGTTTAAGGAGGATCGAGTTTTTTTGAATGTCTGAAGTAGGGATTGCAATTGCTGGATCCCTCATCCAGCAATACAGCTGGATCCAGCGCATTCTTTGGCCTGCTGGATCCAGCACTGTGGATCCACAAATACTCAATTAACTTTCTAAATAATGGTGCAAAAGTCTACGTTGTTGGCATTGTCACTTTGCTACATGTGCTATTGCTTGGCGGCAAGAACGTCGTTGCCATTCAGTGCGGCACGTGCTACACCCCCTCTCTACACCGCACTGCCTGCCCTTTTACCTCTGCTGATCTAATTGCCAGTTGACTTTCTGGTCTCGCTAAATAAAATAAGTAACTCCACTCCTAGTCCTGGTGCATAATTCTAATTTATGGTCGGTTGTGACATCAATGAATCATGCGACGGAACAATTGCAGTTTAAGCTTATGGGGAGCTGCAGCCTCGCCGCTTGTCCACGAAACCTAACCTATCCCTCTGGAAGATGACCATCACTAGCTAATAGATAACTTTTTTATTTCAGCTCAATCGATATTTTACTGGAGACGAAAAATAAAAAAGTTTTCATATTTTTTTCCGGTGATGATCGGGAGTAGCCTTGCTCTCTCCGCTAAGCCTATCATATGTTTAACAGGCAGTCTGGCAGATATTGATGCCGACACGCTCGCTATTGCTCACGGTTGGATAGTACTACGCCTTTAAGGAATGGGAAGACCATCAAAATATAAACACCATTGTTGCCACTGACGGATCAAAAACCACCAACACCATGACTGCAGTTTTCGTTGAATCAAAAAACAACATCATGACTCACTTCTCTCTCCCACCCTGAGGTCTACACTTGACAACAGAATACGTTCCTGAAAGTGAGGAAGTCAGAGGTGAAAACTTATCTTTGAGTTATGATTATTTGATGACCCTGAAACCAACTAGTGTAGAGGCAGAAAGGGCCTTCTCTGTAGCAGGATATATATGCAGTTCATTAAAAAGTAGGTTGGGAGACAACACCATCAATACCATTTGTTTTTTGAGATTCTACTTCCAGAAAAGTCAAAAAAATAACAGAAGTGATTGATTTAATTTTATTTAATCCTTTAAAATACTTTATTCAAGACAAGACTAATATTTTATAACTTCTACTCTAATTCTATTAAGTAAGAGTTCTTAACTTTTATTCTATAAGTGGTTAGTGGGCTAGGCTAGGCAATTTTATTGTGAAAATTAGTGAGAAACTGAGACTACCTAGTTAGTTAAATAGTTAATTAAATTAATGCGTATCAGTATGTTAGATATATGATGATATGAATGTATGTGATTCATGATTGTGATAATAATAACTAACTACTAGACTACTACTAATTACTTACTTACTACTTTACTAACACTAATAATTAAATTACTTATAAATAACTACAGACTGATATGTAGAGCCTATATAAGAAAACTGGTAAGACTGATAGCCACTTAGCCACTGATTATATGTCTTTACATTATTATAATATAATATATTAATATAAATTAATTAGTAGAATTACCTTTGCTATTATTTAACTTAAAGATTACATTATAATTATAATCTAACTAAACATTTAAATTAAAAAAAACAGTTAATTATCTCTATCTCAAGTGTTAAACCGAACCAAAGTTAAGTTTACTACCTAAATGTGTAAGAAGTTTTACTGATTTACTGTATAGTGACCAGTCTAAATAATAAAAGTTTCTTTAAGTATTTAAAAAAAATTTTTATTTCTTTAAAAAAACCATGAATTGCTGGATAGATAGATAACATTTTATTGCACCAAAAACATATCCGTGCTGGATCCAGCTGGAATGATGTTGGTCCAGAAAAAATCGAGCTGGATTGAAAACACTGCTGGATTGCAATCCCTAGTTTGAAGAGGGGAGGGGATTATAGAAACATGGACAAACTGGGACAAGAGGAGGGGGGGAGTAAAAGTTTCAAGAAAAATGCAGGTGTAATTTATGGACAGCTCCATAGAAATTTTTTTATACAATTAAACATTGATAAAAAGTATAGAATTTGCAAAAGAGTAGAAAAAGAATGGCATTGGTAGAATGTATATATAACAGAGTTATTTTAATAATTATTAAATTTTTAAATAAGTAAAAATTATTCTTTTACTTACTTTTAAAAGAGTTGCTATGTGTTCTTACTCTAGGTTCCTATATAACAATACAACTTTATTTTGTAATAAAAAATTATATTATATCTAAAATTATTTCAATTACATTAACCCTTTTAACTACTAAACATTACATCAGATGCCATATATAACAAATGGGTTTTAAAAACTGAATTATAATTTTGACAAAATAAATAATGAATTGTATTTTGCTAAACAATTTTTGAAATTTTGTTTTAGCAAAATTAACTAGTATGTTTAATTAAATAAAGCATTTGTATGTTGATAAATTAGGAACAATATTATATAAAATTATTTGTATAATTAAGATTTTTAATGCTAGTCATAAATTCAGCTAAATCCACAATGTAAGGGTTTGATGAGGAGGGATAGAGCCAAATTTATCTGATCAAACTTGCTAAAAGAATTTCTGAAGAACCAACATAGACTCAATTCAAACCTCTCAGGATGACAAGTCTGATGTCTTTACTACAACAATCATGTAGCTATCAATAATATGTTGAACATATGTTTTGTACAACACTAAAACAGTCTCTAAAAATATTAATTATAATATGTAAAAAATAATAACTTTCATCTATTTTTTAATTTCATGTTAATAATTAGACAATCATATTTTTATTAATGATGTACGGTACATAACATAGCATCATAAAATAAGTTATAATATCTAATTTCATAAATACAAAAAAAATAACTACATTATAAATTTGAATGATTTAACATGCTTACAGAGCTTAGTCTATGTAAAATTAATACATAATTATTGTAAATGAATAAATCAACGATAGAATTTTAAGACAATTAAATGACCAAATTAGAAAACCATCAGTCTGCTGCTTTCAAGGAAGTCAAAGTCTGTGTCAATTCAAATTTTTATACATGAGTTGACCTGAATAAATTAGGCCCTTCCCTCATCACCTGGCTGCATTCATTATTGGCCTAGCCATTGATGTGTATGAAGAAAGGTTCTATTAATGCCTACAAGACTAAACAGCTGAAATTAAAAAAAAATGATACTAAAAAATAATAAATTTAGAAATAAACATAATTGTAAACCAATACTAAAGTAATAAAATAGTGCTAGCTAAAGTATTATTCATTCAATAATTTCTGTCATTTTATAGAACAAAGAATGACTTCATGAGACTAGTTGTTAATAACCGATGCATATATTGGGTTATGATAGTATCTGAATACAAATAATTCTAACTGCCTTGATGTCAAGATAGAATCTTTTTACAAGTCAAAAAATTACTGTAATTTTTATTGTACATGTAGAAACAAGCAATAAAAATTAATACAATATACTTAAATTAATTAATGACTTGTAATGGCAATAACAGGGTGCATTTAATAGTTTTTCCAACATGCTAGCATATGTACAACTTTAACATCTTTGAAGAAAAGTTTAACATTTAAAATTTAATTAATTGTTTACAGAATTAAGAATAAAGCCAAATTGATGTGAACATTACATTTCAAATTTCACTATACAGTATAGTATTTTATTTGTACATAAGAAAAGGGGAAAAAAAGGAAAATTGTAATTATTTGATATAATTAGAATAAAATTAAAATAAAATTAATTATACATAAGGTCATAAAAATATTTATAAATTGGGAGAAGTGGGAGGATTGGATCTTCCAGAAGATTTGGAAAAATTTAGTAAAAATAGAGCAACATTAGTTTAAATTGAAGTGTGAGAGAAAGTGTAACTCATGGGTATTAAAAATATATTTCAAGTGTAGCTTGAGTTACTAAATTTATATTGTTAGAAGCAAGCATAAGATTGATTAAGAAAACTAATTACAGGAACACAACTGGAATAGATATACAAACTTTATTGGCTGTGAAAGAAATATAGTTCAGACTATATGTCCCTCATCAGTCAACTAAATTTTTCATCCACTACTATTTTTGTTTTAATGGCATAATGTAATTTTTCCAAAAAGAGAATCTTGATATTCCACATGGTTTTTTTGCGGGGAGTAAAGACCAAATTTAAACATCAAAAGATGGGAGAGGTTTAAACATTAACTAAAATAAGACATGGTTTATGAATGAATGCTTATGTAAACATCCAACTAAATTTTAATTACAAACTTTACAAAATTATTTTATTTTATTTTTTTAAAGATGTCATGTAAATTTATTTTAAATTAACTTAACTTAATATTTTACTGATATGTTAAAACTGTGATGTTTATAGGTAAAAAATTATTTGCAAAATAATAAGACAAAATACCCTATTTTGTAATCATCCATAAAAAATTTCCCAAAAGTCTAACCTTCAAAAATATATAAATTTCACAAAAACTTAATTTTTTATTGATTGGAAATAATAGATAATTCTCATATAATTCACTATATTATGACCACAGTTCCATAAGATTATAAAAAGTTTTGANAAAAGTAAAATAAATAAACACTAAAGTTTAAAAGTTAGCTGATGATATTCAACAAACTATAGTTTTGTAACAAGAAATGATGTCAGATTTGTTTATGTGTATTACTTTCAAGAATTACAGTTTAAAGTAGAACATTTATTAAGAAAACTGTTCAAACATAATCTAATTCAAACTGCTTTTCTTGGAGCAAAATCTTGTTAGAAAACACTAACACTTTCAGGATCTACAACTCTCATCATCCTAATGATGGATATATATACCTATGGTGGCCAATCTGAGACTTGTGGGCTACATGAGGCTCTTCTTGAACCTTACTGTGGCTCCCATCTATTTAATTATTATAATTAAACATACAGGAGTACATATATATTACATAAAATATGGTTTCAATAGGGAATGCAGCTTTCTTATTTCTGATAGGTGATATATGGTTCCTGTTGTGACAAGGTTTGGCTGTGCTGATATATAGTTTGAAAGGACTAAAGTTTTCACAGAAGTTTTTACTGTTATAAAAGTAATTTGAATTAGATTAGCTAAAATAAAAAATGATTATTTGAATGATTTGTTTCAATTTGGTTACTTATTTATTCAAATATTCCTGCTTCAATTTTTTTTCTATATCTTTAAACAAAATTGAAAAATTGATCATTCTAAGTTTTTATAAAATATGAGAAAAACAATAACTAATAGCAATTCTTTAAATTTAGTGTTTTAATATTAAAATAAAAATTTCATAAGAAAATAATCATCAAAAATAAAATATAGTAACACAGTAATAATTGAGACATCTGCAAATATCCATGTTGAAAAGTGTAGAAATGTATATTAAAAATAGTAAAAATGCCTTTTGTATGTGGATGTAAATATGAATATCCGCAACATCCCTATTATTACTATTATTTAAAATTAAAATTTACAAACTATAAAATTTTATATTAAAATGAATTAATAAAATAAATTTAAATTTTTAAAAGAAAAATTTTATAAAAATGTTTACGTTTTTTCATAATTTAAATATAGAATTATGATAAAATTTAATATTTTACAAAATTAAATATAAATATAAAAGTAATGACAATTATAAATAAACATTTTTATTAACTGTATCAAAAATAATTAGCTACTTTGGAGTACATACATACATGCTTCTCTCCCTCTTCATCTATTGGACAATCAGAATTACATGGTGAATGGGGCTAATGTGAATTAAATATTTTATTTTAAAGAATTCAAAGATATATAAGCATTATTTAAACATATATATAAATGTATAAAATATATTAAAATTCAATTACTTACATTTTCACTGCAAACTGTGTAACATCCAAATATTACCAAACCCTAACCAAAAAAATATGTAAATAATTTTCTCAATAAATATTATTCATTTTAAAGCATAAAAATACAGAAAAATCATTTAAACAATAGTGATATACTAAATTAAATTTTTTTAATGCTTAATAAAAATTTACTTATTATAACAGAAGCAATATTTAATACAGAAAATGTCTTCTGGAGTATATAAAAAAGACGTATATCATCTTGTTATTATGACAGCGTTGAAAACATAGTAGAAATCTTGGAAAAGTAAATAGCCTTATAAAAATTCAGAAAAGACTAAGTTGTTTTCCTTTCCATCCTGTCCAATCGCCAGGAACAAAAACAGTCTTCCTTCGCAGAGATGACCTTTTATTAGAGGCTATGCCATTGCAAAATTATGTAAAACAGTTTAAAAAGTTCACTGATTGTTCCTGGTGATTGGACAGGACAAAAAGGAAGACAATTTAGTTTCTTGTTGTGTCCGTAAAATAAATAATTACTTGTTAATGTATATAATTAACTTTATTATAATACAAACATAACTTTGTGCCTCCAGGTCTAAGTGTCATCACAGCTAACACATGACTGACCAAAGACAAAGAAACACAACAAACATCAGGGGTGCGGGGTCACCTAACTAGGTCACTTCCATTTTTGCTATGGGCGCATTCAATTGTAAACGATTGAATCCATCGATACTGATGATGGTGACATGACTGCCAGTGTCACATTCAAAACAGACTTTTGTACTGTTAATGTAAATTTCTGTCAGGAGTCTGTCATCAGTTCTCATTATATTAACAAATACGTCTAGAACGCTGTTTATATCAAAGTCAATTATGCATTTATGATTAATATTGTGGACATTATGATTCTTGTTAATTGTTGACGTTTGTTTTCTTAAGGATGATATGCATACCTTTTCTGTATGGCCTTTTTTATGACATAGTTCACATTTCAGTCAGTCTTTGACTCTACAGTTTACTGATTTATGGTTGTTTTTCCCGTAATGTTAGCATAGTCCTTCTAAATAAAGTTCTTTAAGGTTAGGTAGGTTTCTGCTGCAACCTTCTATTCTGCTTCTGTTCCGATTTGATAGTTGTGTTTGAGGATGCGAGCATAGTTTAATTTGATATTTTTAGTAATTTTGTGAACAAGGTGGTTACTTTTATATACTTTGTCATTTTCAATTTTGGAAACTTCTATGGCTAATGCAATTTCTAGCATCTGTTCGAAGGTTAGGTCGGTTTGTTGTAGAATTTTTACACGAATGTCAGAATCTTGTAAACCACGTATGAATTGTACTCTTAACATTAGATCTACGATGGATTTTATACAGACCACATTGTTACAACTAGACTTGAAATCTGCACTTTTTGAGAGTTGTTTCAGCAAAGTCATGTAATCTGAAATGGACTCACCATTACGTTGTACTCTGGACAAAAATTTATGCTGTTCTGTTAGGATACTTTGTTTTGGTGTTAGGTGATTTTCTAGTAACTTCATTAATTCAGCAAAGGTTCACCTAGAGGGTATTTTTGGTGCCATTAGCATTATCAGCTACTGACCAACCTTTGATCCAAGACAATTGATTAATATCATTACTTTAACTTCTTCAGTAATGGTGTCTGTTCTGGTTAATCCTTTGATTTTGAAAAAGTTATCTAGTTGTTGGGAATAGTTTTCAAAGGTCTTGAACATTTTGTCATAAGTTTTGAAGGTACAACAGTACAATTTTTGGATATTAAAATCAATATGAAGCATGGTCATCTGTCCACATGTGTTTTTCATAACGAGTCATATACACCTCTTTTTATACCTAACCATTCACATGACCCTTATTGTTACAAGTCTCTGCTTTTCAATCTCTCGTAAAAAAGACCCACACACATTGTTTGGAGCAAAATGAAAAGGAAAATGAATTATCTTGGATCAAGGCATGGATTCCTGTCCTCTTTGGTCAAACATCTTATAAAACAATATACAAATAAGGGGAATAGAACTATTCTACAAGAAAAATGAATGAAAGTTATTACATACAACATATAGCATATTGTTGCTCTCCAACAATCTTCTCTCTCATCAGAAATGATAAAAACCATATACCTGACCCATACTCTCTAGGGGTTTATGCTGTACGTCTTTATGATGACTGAGTTAACCACTCATTAATATATATTGGAGTGACTGCAAGAGGTCTCACCATGAAGGTGAAGAAACATAAATATTCCAATACGAAAGAAGCTGACAACCATGGCATTAGTGACATATGTGAGTAGTGAGGAAGTCTGAGTTGAACTACAGAATGCAAAATTGGTACACTAAGTGTCAGATAAAGCACAACTCAAATACCTTGAAGCAATTGAGATCTGTTGTGCAATTAAACAGGGAGTCACTATTAACTTCAAAGAAATGGACACACTATCCACAGCATGGCATGCTATTTTTGAACTAGATTCCACCAACATAAACTCGCATCAATGAAAATTTAAATTACAGAGGATATTTAAATCATAGGAATTAATGTGAAATTAATTGATTATTTATTTGATTATTGTTTAAATAATATACATATGTGGCAACCAATTCGGGAGTTTACCCAATTACCACCAGAGGGAGTCCTGAGAAATATAAAGACTGGTTCGAACACGTGCCCTTCACCTTTTTCGACTTCTTGTCTCCGTGTGTGAACTATTTCGACAAGTGTAAACTTCAAACTTTTTGTTGGTGAACACCACTACATATATATTGAAATTTTATCCTGAACATATAAATTTTAACATAAGGTATTCAAATCACGTAATCAGTCTGAACTTTTAAAAAAATTCTATTTTCATTAGTTGTTTGTTCGATTATGTATATACCTGAGGATGTCTATTTCACATAGACAAAAACGTTTGTAAATTTTCCTTTTTTCTTGTTATTTGCTGGTGTTGGTTTTATGAGTGATATATATATATACAAAATAACAATATAGAAAATACTCTATTACTGAAATATATTTAACTAGGGATAATGTTAATAAAATAATATTGCAAATATAATTGTTAACTTAAAATTATTTTGGTAAGCAGTATATAACTTTTTAGTTAAAAATACATAAAACTTGATTATTTACTTACCAAAAATGCTGAACAGAGGGAGAAAAAGTACTTAAAGATGCTATCATCAAAATTAATGTATAAAATACTTGAGAATGAAACTAATAAGAGAGTTGAACTGATGATTAATGACCTATGTAGCAATCTTGATCTGTAAATAATTCCAGAGATGATGTTCTCATGTCAAAATTTAATGTTATTAAAATTATTTATTTTTCACTTAAGTTTCATCCATAAACCATGTATTCCAGTTTAGGGGAGAAAAGGATAAGGTTAGAAAAAACCATGTGGTTATCATTATTTTAATAAAATAAGTGAATTTATAAAAATTGAAAAAAATCTATATATTGAATTTAATAATACATTGATATTTTTAAAATTAGTCAATTAAATTAGCTTATTTTCTTGCAACATCAGTACATGATCTGTATTAAGTAAAAGCACTATTTGCAATACTTCTTGTCCCGTTTATGATTGTAAAGGGGTGCATAATGTTTTAAACAATCAATGAAACATCATGTGCTGACATCAGTGTATTGAATATAAAATTCCTGTTTTTATTTGAAAGATTGATAAACTGTACTTTAAAGAACTCTAACAATGGAGAGTAAGAATAGTATTTTTAAAATAAAATTAATTATACATAAGGTCATAAAAATATTTATAAATTGGGAGAAGTGGGAGGATTGGATCTTCCAGAAGATTTGGAAAAATTTAGTAAAAATAGAGCAACATTAGTTTAAATTGAAGTGTGAGAGAAAGTGTAACTCATGGGTATTAAAAATATATTTCAAGTGTAGCTTGAGTTACTAAATTTATATTGTTAGAAGCAAGCATAAGATTGATTAAGAAAACTAATTACAGGAACACAACTGGAATAGATATACAAACTTTATTGGCTGTGAAAGAAATATAGTTCAGACTATATGTCCCTCATCAGTCAACTAAATTTTTCATCCACTACTATTTTTGTTTTAATGGCATAATGTAATTTTTCCAAAAAGAGAATCTTGATATTCCACATGGTTTTTTTGCGGGGAGTAAAGACCAAATTTAAACATCAAAAGATGGGAGAGGTTTAAACATTAACTAAAATAAGACATGGTTTATGAATGAATGCTTATGTAAACATCCAACTAAATTTTAATTACAAACTTTACAAAATTATTTTATTTTATTTTTTTTAAAGATGTCATGTAAATTTATTTTAAATTAACTTAACTTAATATTTTACTGATATGTTAAAACTGTGATGTTTATAGGTAAAAAATTATTTGCAAAATAATAAGACAAAATACCCTATTTTGTAATCATCCATAAAAAATTTCCCAAAAGTCTAACCTTCAAAAATATATAAATTTCACAAAAACTTAATTTTTTATTGATTGGAAATAATAGATAATTCTCATATAATTCACTATATTATGACCACAGTTCCATAAGATTATAAAAAGTTTTGATTAGGTTTTATTTCTAGCAACTACTCACAGTATACTTAAAGAGTAGAAAGTTTGATGAAAAAATAAACTAATACAAAAAATAATCCAGGATTTATAAATGAAACTGTTACAAAGTGTTTCAAGTGCATTAACAATAAAATAAGTGTATGAATAAAACAGTAAAAGAGTGTTTGGAGAAGTCATACTTTTCTGTAGATGTTACTTCAATCTCTCCTAATGTATGAAAAATGAATATAACATTACATAACTTCAGTTGTAATAATAATCCATATTGTTTCCTGCATGCTCAAAAAAATAAGTACAAGTATCAACTTATTAATTCACGACTGACCTTATATGTGAAAGGTGACTGAGATACTAATGTGAAATCTACACTACTGACTCCTTTTGATCAAAATATTACATTATAAGATACTAATCTTTAATTAAAACACATTAATAACTTCTCAATTTCATTTTATCTGTATATTCAAGATTATTGAACTTCATTGAAAATGTCAATTTGAAGGCACTGTAAACATTTGCAATCTCAATTACAATAGTTCTTGAACAGAAAAAGTGTATATTTTAACATTGTTTAAGATTCATTATAGTTCACTTGACAATTACAGTTTTTCCCATGTATGAATGCAAAAAAGAGTTTGTAGTGAGAATGTAGAACAGGTTACCAGACCACAATTCCAGAAAAGACAGCAAGACACTCAACATTGATGACAGTCTCAAAGCTCAAGATGGACTCCATTCCCCTCACTGGTGTAATAAAGAACCAAATGACTGGTAACAATGTGACCAATGTCTAGTTCTAGGAAGATATCCCCAATGTCCAGATAGAAAGATATATTGCTTTCTGAGGTGCTTTTCACACACAACTGCACACATTATACAGAGGTAAAGCACCAAGTTACAAGTTTTCTGCACTTTTTATAGAATCTCTCAATTCAAAGTACAAAAAATTATATATGTAAATTTTATGCTTATTTATCAACTTTTTTTAGTTAAAAGTGTGGCCATCGGCCATGATATTGGGTAGTCGTATGTTTATTTGGATTAATCTTAGCCTTCTTTCCTGTTTCTTTGTTCTAAATTCCTTCTAGAACCTTCTTATCTAACCCTTTTTTCCCTTGGTTAGGATTACCGTTTCCAAGAAAATAAGTAGAACAAAAGAGGGAGAGAGGCCCTGGGGCCTAACGGACAGAGAACGAGTTAGTCTGGGTGAGAATCCCAAAGAGGTAGGCAGAAAAAGGCAGTGCTCCGAAATTTTAGAAAGACGATCAAAGACTGCAATTTGCCGAGAAATCATTGAAGAAAGACAACAAAGTCAAAAATAGATGAAAGTCCTACAGCGAGAAAAGGATCACAAATCCAAAGTTGTGTCCTACCCAAGAGCACGTCACTACAAAAGAAACCTGGGTATTTCTATTCCTTTCCTTATCATTCCTTATTTCTTCTACTTTTCCATTTTTCTTAGTTTTAAGATAGTATAAGTTAGTGTAAGTTGATACAACCTGTGTCTGACTGTTGCACATATATGAATTATCTACTTGGAAGACCAGTATGTAAATGCCTATGTACTGTACATAAAATTCATAGTTATAAGGTTGGGATCCGATGTAAAGAACCTGTTCGGAGCAAATTAAAATACTTGATGCTGTAAATAATATTAAGTGTTTTTTTTTTGTACCATTTCGCTCGCGGAATTAAGTACTGCTCATTACAAACCACACAAAAGAAATATATAACGAAAAACATTCAATATATTATCTAAATTTGTTTTTTTTATTTTTTGACTTATATAATTGCTATAATGTAGTGGTTAAATAAAGTTTTTTAAATTAAAGTCCAATAATGCATTGCATAACTTTCTTGGCTGTTAAGAGATTTTATTAAAAAATAACTTTTAAATTATTAATTATAATAAAAAGGCAAAAGGCTTAATTTTGAGGGTAGAAATGAGTTTTTAAAAATATTGTAAATGCCAATAATAATAAAAATTTTCATTAAGTCCAACACCACCCGATATATGACACAACCCTCCCCTATCTTCCTGTTTCCTTGAACTTTAACCACTGAAATTTAATAGTATCGATGCTCTTTATATACAAATTACCATGCAAAATTTTATTGCTTTTATTTTTACCCCATCCTGAAATATTAAATGAAATAGCCCCCAACACACACACACATTTGCAAAATTTTATTCCTGGTTTTTTGACTTTTTGGGTTCAAAGTGGTCTCAAAACATTGAGACTTGCATAAAAAACCTGGAAGAAAATATCTGACACAATTACAATGCTTTTCCATGCATGTTATAAACATAAAAGCAGAGAAAGTAAAAAGATGTCTTAATAATTTAATGAATCTATGCAAAGAAATAAAGATTTTCTTTGCATAGATTCCTTGCTAATATTGTAGCATACAAGTTTGTATTTTAAATTCAGTTATTTATAACACCAATAGCAACATACTAAAGATGCAAATACAGTAGAACCTCAATTATCTGGACTAATTGGGGATGAAGGTAGTCCGGATAAGGAAAAATTTGGATAATCAAAACAAATACTTTAATTTGTCTTTTAATGATAATACAACACATTTTCTTTTCGATGACATATCGGTAATATTAAAAATAAATACTGTATTTAAATCGTGATCAAATTTTCAAGAAACAAACGTTCGTATTGAATTTGGACTACTTCTGACCACCGCTAACAGACTACTTATTGTTTAAAAGTCCCTCTGGTGGCGCAAGAAGACGAATTTTATAAAATAAAAAGCAGTTGAAAACTGCATTTTTATGAATAAAAATTTGACAAACTATTTATCGTTTTATGACGACTAAAACTTTTTTGTTGCATTTGCGGCTTTTAAGTAATGCATAAACCTTTGAGACGCGAGGCCCTTCGGACCGTGAGGCATAGGTGGTGGCCCATGTTGCCCATACGCCGCCCTTGGTCATATAAATGATGTAATTTGAATATAAATTATTTATAAGTACGTATGTCAAGTTATATTTTTATTATGATGCAAAATATATTTAAGAGTTTACAACCACTGTGCTGGGTGAGACGTTGTTGAAACAAAAAAGTTATTCATTCCATCACGTACATAAACAGTATCGTAATTCGCCAAGTGCAAATCAGCAAATTCGTAAAATTTTTGTTTATTTTGAACAATCTGGATAATCGAAAATCCGGATAATAGAGGTCCGGATAATCGAGGTTCTACTGTAATTTAAAATAAAAAATATTGAAAGTGAAATATTACATTTTTCATTATAGTAAAAAGAAATAGATATGTCATTATTATATTTGCTTTTATTAAATATAAGAGTTCTGATTAACTGACACTTGTTTCACCCATTTAACGTGGTGAACTATTTTTCTATAGTTCATCACATTATCTCTGGCAAACAATGGAAAAATACTTCACTAACAAAATCAAGATACATAGTACAGTGGAACCTCGCTTAACAAGCATAATTCATTCCTGAATCTTATTCATAATACAAAACATTCGTTAAGTGAATCAATTTTTCCCATATAAATTAATGTAAAATACAATAATGTGTTCCATGCCAAAAAAAAAGTACTCAAATATTTTATGTATAATGTTTATTTAATGAAAATTATATAATACACTGTATTAAATTTAATACGAAATTGCAGCATAACTGCCTACCTCTAGTCAAATTAATTAATTTCTAACATTTAATTAAAGCCTTTAGATAGCCCAAGAATTTGGCATATCATTTGGCATGTTTATTGTATAACGGCTATTGTTGTTGATGTTTGTAAGTAATATGTCTGAACACAAGTTTGAAAAAATGTGTGATCACAAGTGACACTAAGATGCTAGTGGAACGAGTGCTATACACAGACTGATGTAGCACGCACACAATCTGGGACTTCCCCTCTCATCACTCATTATGCAAAATGTCACTTGTTAAGCGAGTCATTTTTTTTTACAATTTGTTTTGCTTATTATGAGAATTACTCATTATTTGAGATTCCATTGTACAGTATAGTACAAGTTACTTTAAGAATCTCAGCTAGTTGATGTGTGGTACTTGAAAGGGATTTGCAAAGTTTAAAAAAGTTACTCTGGTAATTTCTCATAATATAAATTTTAGGAATGATTATTACTTTTGTTTTATAATGATATTCTTTCATTCTGTCTATTACTTTGTAGTAAACATCTGTGCTACCCAAAATTTTGATTATGCAAGGTACAGTACATTCAGTCCATATTATCTTGTATAATCAGGTGTAAATTTGCTGACTTTTAGGAAAGGATCATTAATCCCGCAACAGAATGATCTAGGGTCATTTGTGTGTGGGTGTGGCGGAGGAGACAGATGACAAGTATCTTACAAAAAACCCATTTATTTTTAACAGAAAAATAACTTACACTAGGCACAAAGTTCTTGAAACAATTAAATGTTTGAAAGTTCTGAGTGTCGGGGATGTTTTTTCTAACATTGCTTGAAAGTTGGGCCATGGGGCAGTGGCATGTGAGGAGATTCATTGGTTGGTGTCAGCAACACAACTCTCTGGATGGGCACAAAGGGGAAAAACTCCATCTTCCGTGCGTTGACACACAGTGTCTTTTTGCTTTGGACTTCACTAACTGAGTGTCAACTCACTTAGTGCCTCATGACCTTGACAATCGGGGATTATCAATCTCCGTTCTCCCCTTTTTGTCCATTCTGATTAGTTCCACGATTGTCCCTAAGCGAAAAACAAGACCTGTTCGGGTCCTGAGAAGGTTCACTTCGGGGAATTTACCCAATAACTCTGGATGGAAGGTGTTAATGGGACTTTGAACTTGTGCTCATTTTACCTTGTTGTCTAGTCTATGACATCTTAGAATTTTAACAACCTGACACAATGTCCCCTTTTATAATTAACCTTTCCCCTTTTCCAAAATTTTCTATGTTCTAATTGCTTGTATATGAGCACCTTGTCAAAGGTGCTCATATACAAGCAAACTCTACTGGAGGATGCTTGTTTACATTTATTACGTCATGTCTTACATTAATAGTATTTTTTTTTCCTTGTCTCAGTTTCATATGACTAGCACAACGAATCTGATCTTTAATTGGTTTTAACAATGGAGGGTTTTCCTCTAGTTTTGTTTTAATAAATTTCTATAATATTGTTTAATTTAAACCCATTTGTTTGGAACCTCACACAAGAGATTATACAAGATAAAGTGAGACTCTACAGTACTACTATGTAAAATTTTGATTTATTCTATCAATGAAGAAAATTTGTATACTGTATTTTGTTTTAGTATTTTTATAGTAATTGTTTTATATAGGCCTATAGTCCCTTTTTAATAAATCAAATAATCACTTTTTTTAATTGAAAGTGATATTAATTAACTAAAAGTAACATTAAAATTATTTTAATTTAATTATTTTATTATAAACTGATAATGATTTTAAATCAAACATACTATTTTATAAATCATTTAAATACAGTTTTATTTTAATTCTAATACTGCTTTATTTTAAATACTGCTTTATCTCTTTTACTTTTAAAAAATATAATTTAATATTGTAATATTTACCTATTTTTCAATTTGTTCTGTTTTAATGGATCTATTTTTAAATGACAACGTAGTTCTGCTTTCACTGTCAGAAATAATAACACTTGAAACTATAAGAATTAAAATACAAAATAAATGATAATAGCATTATATATTTTGTTCAAAAATACTAAAAGAATTTAAGTACTATTGAAAAAATTTATGCATAAAAAAGCAAATGAAAAATATGAAATATATCTTTAATTCTTCATAAAAAAACATACTAATTAACACAGCATATTTATAGCATAAAACGCTAAACACTAAACTCCTCACTAAACCACACCTTAAAAGCTTTAAATGCTTTTACTAATGAATTTAACTGAAGAAGAATGATTCAGACCATTGCTTTTTTCTAACTTTTTCTAACCTTTTTTTAACCTTTTTTGTGAGCATTGTGAGACCATCATGGGTTTGGGCAGGCCCATAGTTGAATGGCTGAGTAGTGAGGGATGGGGTCTGTTGTATTTGGGAGAGACCTCACCAAAAATTTCCTGCAGATTTTTGATTGCTCAGATTTGATCTCAGGTCTCCTAGAGCAATAGGCTGATGTATTGATTACCTTGGCCATTTGGTTGAAGATCGTGACTTAAATTAGTATGATTTCAATGGCATATATTAACATACTTAAGCTCTCTTTCTTTAAAACTGGATAAATTTTAAAGTTTATACATAACTTTAAGATTAATTCATACAGATAAGAGTAGAAATTTTTCAGTTACATCAACTGAACCACAATGATTCTGTGACAATTAGTATAACTGATTGTCAACCTACTATTTGTGTGAATTACATGTCTAAGCTTTTCTCAAAAATCTTTTCTGGACAATTATAAATTAATTAATAAAATTATAAATTTGTATTATTATTAACTTTCATTAATAGCTTTTTATGTTAATGAATATAAAAATAATCTAATAAAGAAAATGTAATATAAAATTATACTTACAAAAGATATTGCTAAAACTGATGTAACATAAGCATAAAAATAATTTGTGTGAATTTTTAACCACCAACTGAAAAAATAAATAAATTATATAGAAATATTTATATCCTCATATAATTTTAAGTTTTAATATAATAACTATCTGCAAAAGTCAACCTTTCCAAAGAAAATCCTTCTAAAACTTGNTTAAAGATGTCATGTAAATTTATTTTAAATTAACTTAACTTAATATTTTACTGATATGTTAAAACTGTGATGTTTATAGGTAAAAAATTATTTGCAAAAAATTACAATGCTTACTAAATAATTTGTACTTTTTTTAACTGAAATAAAATTAAAAATTATGAAAATGTACAAGAGAATCAATGGAAATCAGAATTGCTAAAATAACTATAGATGAGTTCAGTAAATAAACTTGAATATCAGTGCTAGTTCTTTCAAGTGCACAGGAATGATGTAATACAGCAAAGAATTACTGAATGATTAGTGCATGCTTTTAAAATATTTGAAAAGTAACTTTTAAAAGTTTCACTAGTCATTTTCCATTGTCCATACCATTTTCAATTGTCTGAGATAAATTCTTCATCCAAAAATAAAGGAAACTCGTACTATGTGTAATGAAATAGGTAATAGAAGCAACCGTATTATTGCACTGACGGAAAATTGAGTATAAACACAGTGCACGAAGTGATGGCACAGGAGCAATTGGTTTTTTTCTAAACACTGCATACCAAAACTGATTCTTTTACTAAATAATCTGTACAATTTCCTGCCTACAACTTGTAGTGGCATATAATCCACAGAGGATAACTTTTCATTGACTAAGAAAGGTTGTTGCCATATTATTTGTGCAATTTTGTATCAATATTTATTTGTTTCTTGATGCATCAGCAATAAAATTCAATAGTTAAGGATATTTAATAAATAAAAAAAAAAACATTCTCTAATCTATTAAAGCAGTACAACAAAAGTTTAAAATCCTGAATTATAAAATGCAGTCAGCCCTTGATTTATGCTCAATTTCCAACAACTAAAACTGATATAAACAACTTGTTGCACCTGTAAATGTGAAATGTAATGTAATATGATTTATTTAATTTTTTCATATAAGTCTCTGAAAAAAAAAAACTGAAAATTTATATAAATTGAAAAAAACAAGTTCTTACCCCATCCCATTGAAGCTATTTTAAGTTCTAAATAACGAATATTCCTAAGATTTACTAATTCTGTATAAATAGTAAGTCCAAGGCACAACTGCATACAAAGTGCTGCTAAAAGGAAGAACTGAATAAGAGAGACAATATGGGGATAATATTTCTGAAAATAAACAAACAAATAACTTTATATAAATAATTGATAATTTCAATATGAAATAAATAAATAATATTTCAAAATATAAACAATAACTATTTTCAAATAAATAGATACACTAATAAAAATAGTAAAGTGCAAATATTTTCAGTAGATTGCTATTTCATGGAAAGCTAGAATTTCTTTAAATAACTTTATAGAGACACTAGAAATCTTTGTAAAATTCCTCAAAGAAAATTGTATTAACAGCAGAGATGCCGACTTGCTCTCCACCACTTGGCAATCACTCCTCAATAATCCCTTAAATTAAATGAGCTAATCCATCCTTCTCATCGAATTTGTTGCAAACTTATGTAATCTTAGTGGCAATAGGCATTTATTTTGTTATCCATTTACACATCTATTTGTTAATTTTATTTCAATTTTATCCATGTCTGTCTTTTAAACTTTTGTTTAAAACAATGACATCATTTGAATATTTGTTAACTGATGTTCCAATAAAATAACTCTTACTATTAACCTTGTAACCAGAGTGTTGTGTAATACTTCAGCAAACATTTTCAACACCCCTTCTGGGCTCTTCCTCAGGCTTTTTCTATAAATACTGAGCTGGTGTTCCAATGTTATAGGACCTAAAGAAGGCCATTTAAAATGGCCAAAAACATTTGTTCTCTTATGGATTAAGAAACTGCTAGAAAAAGAGTGAAAGGTTTTGTGAAACTTGGATTGCTATTATCATCATTTTGCAATAATTCAAATTTGGAAATGTCAACTTTGGACTAAAACAATGGAACTTGAAGCTAAATTCCAGTATGCCTTCTTCAAAAATAAGGGAATAGAATCTGCTATTTTCTTATTATCATCTCAAATACAACTTAATAAAAAAAAAAAAAAACAATACAGAAAAGTATATGTATCATTCATAGACATACAGAAAGCTTTCGATTCTATCTACGTTCCCTTACTGGTGAACAATCTAAAAGCCAAAGGAACTGGTGACCAATTTTTATCTACAATATCACAATTATTTTCAGTATATAATTAAACAGGGCAAGTCCATCTCTTCTTCACTATTATCCCCTTTCACATTACTTATTCAATTATCATCTACTTGAGATTGATCAACTCTTTCAAGATTCCATTGACGGTATAGAACTTGGTAGCAGAATCTTTCACTATGTCTTATTTGCAGACGACCTGGCAATCTTAGCACCTACAAAAGTTTCATTGCAAAGAAAAATCAACCAATTAAATTCCTATTTCAAGTCAATCCATTTAACAAATAAATCCTACTAAAACAAAACTCCTCATATTCCGTAATAACATCAAAATCTCGAAAAAAGAATCTACAATATATCTCGACAAGAATCCTCTGCAGATAGTAAACAAAATAAACTTCCTGGGCGTTACCTTTGACTGGAATCATTCATTCAAAGTACACATTTCGAATTTAAACAATAAAGTAAAACTTGCTATTGATAACTTGTTATTTTTGTGCTCTACATTAAAAACTTCAAATTTGCTTATCCACATGAAACTCTACAATTTGATAATCAACCCGATCATATACTATGCTAGTCCAATGTGTGGTTTTGACTACTTATACAAATTAGAAAGCTTTCACATCTACTTTCTCCACAAATTACTCCATTTGGAGAGAACGGTTACCAGATACGCAATTCGTCATGAAACTAATCACATCTACTTGTTCCCCTTCTTCTTAAAACAAACTATTAAATTTTACTACCATTTAAAATTTAAAAGTGACAGCAACATTACCTTTCTACAACAGGAAATAATCAAATATAGTAAAAAACTAACAACAAAGTATCTTTGGCAAACTAAGTTAAATAATATATTAAACTCATTTGGAGTATCAGATCTACAGTTTAAAGATAATATCTAAGACTGGAAATATGGTTATACTTTGTTACTGGAATATGTTATTTCTCACTCTATAAATATAGACCAAGCCAGCTTAAACCGTAGTAATTATCATCCCTAGTATCTAAAAATACTAAAAATCCCATCCTCTCAACCGTATATGAATAAACCAATAAATTTCAATGTGAAAAGACTAACAACACAACTATGTCTCAATAAATATTCCCTATATATTGGTAAAATTTACATTGATCTTTCAGGCAATCAATGGCCATGGTGTAAATCCAATGACTTCTTGATCCACTATTTACTACAGAATTGTCAAGAACTTGCAAATATATGTAACTCATTTAATATCATGCAAATACTCCAATGTAATCCATTTCATAACTTCAGAAATAACCTAAATAAAAATGACCTTTATAATATTTATAATTACTTCATCAAGATTGTAAAAACACTGAAAATCTAAGATAACAAATTCAATGTATACCAATATTGTAAAACTTGACTACCGCTACAAAACTACTTAATATGACTGTTTTTTGTTTATGTTAATAACAGGTTAACATGAAAACTTTTGCATAATAATTGTATAAATTTGCTAACCTGTTAATTGTTCCAATAATTTGTAAACTTCTAACTAAATTATGTACAAGCCCCTGCAACAGGGATAATTTCTGTTTTTTGAAAATAAAGTTTGATTGATTAATTGAAAAAAAATTTGGAAATGTGATATTTTCATTTTTTAGAAATAAAATTGTACATAAGGAGGTTATGTGCTTATTTAATGCAACATTATATAATCATATACAGTGGGAACCCTCTTAACCAACCTTTACTGGATCACACCTGATTGGTTAATCAGAATAATATAAATACTATACCATATCAATATGTAAAATAAAAACTCATAAATACATTGTCATTTAATACATATGTATTGTACCTCAATTTATCAAATACATATACTGTACTAATGTGTATTGTTTTACCTCATTAATATATTAGGTACAATCAAAAACTAAAATACTGCATATACTGTATGTACAGTCTTCAGTTAAACTCACTTAAACTCTGTGATTGTTCTCTGTTTTTTGCAATCATTGCTTTTTTTGAATGAAAAATTGTCACTTTCTAATAAACATCACATCAGCAGCAGTTGACTCACACTGCTGTTCAATGTATCCATTATTTTTTTGCTGAATTGATGAAGAAGAATAAGAAAGAAAACTGAAGTGGGCACCCACATCATTGATGGCTTGTGTAAACTTAGCATAGATAAATAGGCTACTATAAAAATGCGATAGTCCAAGATCACTAGCAACACATTATTGTGTAAAGATCTGCCATACCAATGTGGCAATTCACTGGTTTGGACAATGCTCCATAAAAAAACAAAAAGCTGAACAAGAACAAGTATTAAATCTTATTTTTATTTACCTTGTAACTGTTTATGTAGCCTAGTATTTGAGTCTAATGTACTTGTTTTCTGTTTTATCAGTGGTCAAATGCTTGTAACTTTTTTATGCTGTTTACTTTTAAACCTGTATGAAGTGGCAATGAGGACTGGTAGAAAGTTAAGGGCAAAATAGCATTAATGTAGGAAATGCTGTCCCTTGATAACCCTGTGTGGCTACATCTCTGGGTTTCGTTCTTTCATCATTTTATGTTAGATAATAAAATTTACACTTTTAATTTAAAGATCATCACTTAATTTTTTACAGAATAGTATTTTTTTTAATGCTGATTATATTCATAAAAAATATTTTTAAAAATAAAATAGAATAAACTTAGAATTAAGAATTGAAATATGCTTTTATTGGATTCATTATACATTTTTACAAGTTTCTTTTTAACAGATAAATTGAAGTATTTCCTTTTATTCAAATTATTACTCAGTTTTGTTCACCTTATTAAATAATAAAGAATATTCTAAATTTTATTTTAAAGAGAGGAAAAAACTTAAATGGATGAATTCTGAAAACCTACACAATATTCTGCCAACTTAATCTGAGTTAAATCAGTTGGTAGATCTATCATTACTCTTCCAAAAGTCAACTGGCAGAATTTGTTTATTGGTGTTCAAATTTTTTGTTTTTGAACTTTATTAACAATTTCAAGATTGGAGTAAGCCCTTGCAAATAACTCTAAAGACTGGGAGGTTTTTGACTATTTTCAAAAAACTACAAAAAAAGTAACAAATAAATACACATTACACATACAACCAAAATCCAGCAAGAAAAACTAGATTAGAGGCATCATCCGGCTAACTGACCTTTGCAGTTCAAAGGCAGCTTCTTGTAGTTTTTCTTGCTGGATTTTGGTTATATGTGTAATGTGTTTTACATTTACCCAGTTTGAGTAGTTGAATTTAAGGAACAAATAATATTTGTTATAATATTTTGGAATTTATCTGTACTTTTATTAACATGAACAACCAACAGAATAATCACTAAAAGAAAAAAAAAAGGATTTTTAGAAAATTAGAATAAAATGTCTTTTTAAATTTAAAAAAGTCTGATATGTATCAGATTGCACTAACTGGGATAAAAAAAGCTTCAAACATTTGTTTTGGTAGTCAGAATCACTTTCTAAGTCTCAATTGTCATTATTTGGATTATAATCTGGTTCTTTAGCAGACTCTTCTATAATATTGTTCATCTGAGAAATTCTCAAACTTCTCCTAGGCCATCAGTCTTATATCAAACATGATATAAGACTGATAATCCATCTACATTGACAGTGTTTGAATTGAATACAATTTTTTTGGTTTCAGTATCAGAAGTATCTATATCTGATCCAGGATTATCATTTATTAAATCTAAAGCTTCATCAACCCTTAACTTTCTGCACATGGTCATTGTGTGTTCCTATGTAAGTACAATCAGAACCAGTTTTAATGTATTGTCCTGGTCATATACAAATTTACAAAACATCAAACATTGAATAATACATAATGCTACTAAACAAATTTACAAGTATCTATATAATAAAAATAACAATAAATTCAATATACTGAATATATTTCCTTTAGATAATAAATTTGATGAATTACTAATTCATATTTAAAATTTTAAAGCTAGTGAAAATAAATTAGATATTAAAGCATACATACCTCATGCAAAATGTCACTAATAGCAATCATGATTGTTATGTAAGCTCCTAAAAGAGCTAAACATACTTGAATTTTTAATGCTGTTATGGCACCTTTGATGTGTCTAAATACAAAAAATATAATAATTATTGTTTTTTTCTATATTGTGTCAAATAGTAATTAATTTAATGAATATAGTAATACAGTAGAGCCTCGAAAACTCGGCCTAATGTGGACCGAAGGGTGGCCGAGTTTGTGAAAATGCCGGGTTATCAGGAATGGGGTTAAAAAAAGGATAAGTATGCATGTTTCCTCAGAAAATATTGTACTGTACTTGTATGTATTGTTTGCTTGAGAATACAACAGAGAATAAACTGCCCAAATACCCTTAAACAAAGGAAAAGTACGTCCTTTATGAAGGCATAGAGCCTTTACTACATGAAAATGAAAATTAATGAATACACTGTGTACAGTAATTTACTTGATAAGACAGACCTCAGAAAAATACTTTATGAGGCATAAAGCTGTCTATAATGAAAATTAATTAACTAAGGATTTTTTTGCCCTGCCAGGGTGTGACCGAGTTATCCGGAGTGCCGGGTTATTGAGTGCCGAGTTTTCGAGGCTCTACTGTAGCTTAATTACAAATCAGAGTTTCACTTTTATTTAGAAAAATTCTACTTATTATAATAAATATGGTATATAATAAAATACATATAATATTATTTTATCACTTTAAAAATTTTCTATCAAATTATATTAAAATTAGATAATTTCATTGTCTCATTGTTATGTTTTTCCATATTATTTTTTGTATTTTATTTCAATTTAATTGATCTTATAATTGAAAAACTTTTTATCCTTTAATCATCATCACTTCTTTAACAGTAGTCTGATCCAACTAAGCTAAGATTTAGTATTCTAATGCAAATAAAAAATTGGAAATTAAATTGTTTTATAAAGACATTTTAACATTTATATATATATATATATAATGTTTTGATTAAATGTATTTTAAATTATTTCAAAGTTTATAACATTAAAAAAAATCTTATCAAAAATAAAAAAAATATATGATGGTTAATTTTATTTTGTTAAGTTGAATATATCTGTTAAAGATGATTTATATTATCATTAGGAAATGTTTAAATTACTAAATAATCTATAAAGTTTAGTAATATTTTATATGAGAAAGAAATATAGTTATTAATGGCACAAAATAATTGATCTTACAAAAGATTTTTTAATTCAAATGAATACATATTCAATGTTTATTTGTTTACACCTCAACCATTTTCAAAGTTTTTTCTAAACAGTAATCATTTTAAGCATTATAACAGTAAATTTAAAAATGTGACTTTAATAAATTGTATGTAATTAAAATATCATATTTATAAACTCCTTTAATCATTGGATTAATCAAAATTATCTTTTAAATATTTAATTTCAAATAGTATCAAATAAATAAAATTTTATTTTAAAAGAAAGTATATTTTTGCCACGAAGAAATTTCAAACATTTAAAAAATCATCTTTACAAAAATTGAAATATAATAAACACTGCAAAAACCTAACAAACCAGTGACAAAATTATAAACTAAGTGTGAACATTTCTGCCTATGTTAAAAGGGCATTGTCAGGCAACATACTGTTGAAAAAAAGGTGGGGATTGCCAAACACATGTGTGGGGGAAAGGGGTATGATGTAAGAAGAGAGGAGGGGAGGGGAAGGGAGTTTATATTTCATAGATAGACTTCCAGGCAGTGGGCAATGTCATGATAGTTTATGGCTGAGTTATGGCAGGTGGCCTTGTAAATTTATGGAATATATTTCAATTTTTGTAAAACAAAATGTTTTACAAAAATGAAAAATGTTTTAAATATATTCCAGAGTAAGAGTACCCTTGTTATCTTTGTTTTAAATCATTTGATATTGTTGACACAAGTATACTTAAAGGATAATAAAATATTAATGTTTTAAAAGTATCAAAGAACAGTTATAAAAAAAAGAAAGAAATAAATCAGGATTATTGAATTTTTAAATCATAATAAAAGATATTTTTCATCATTACAAAAAATGAGTTTTTAATATTTTTTACCACATAAAACAAAGATAAGAAAATGACTCTGTAAATGCCAAATTATACACAATTTAGACTTCTGTCATATCAAAAATCTCACAAGACAAAAGGAATTATCTTCAATAAGTCTTTATTTAACAACAAAAAAAAAAAAAAAAAATGTGTGTAAAATTAAAATAAAATTTTAAAAATTCTTTATAACTATATGTATATATGTCTGCATTATGCTTAACTATATGGAAGAAAATTTCCAATATTAAACAATTACTGTTTAAAATAAAAATAAATTATGTTTAAAATATGTATATTACTGAAGTTTATAGATCAAGAGTTACTTTTTATGACTTCATACATGCTACATTTTATGTATTCTTATATAATATATTTTAATTATAGTAATTATTTATATTAATTATATAATTAATAAAACAGTCCTCACCTCCATAAAATAAGTAATAAAAGAAGACAAAAAGATATTAAAAAGGCACAAATGGCACAACCAATGCCTGCAATTATTTCAAAGCCTTCGTGGACATGAAAATCATCCTAAAAATTAAAGTATCTAGTATTATTATTAACTTATTCTACATCATTAAAACTTAATTCATTGAAATGTTAAAAAATATAACATTCAAAATTAATTTAAATTAAAATATAATACAAAATGGTGAGACTGTTTCTATAAACAGGCATGAGTGCAAGATTTGCACATGCATTGCTCGTGCTCTCCAAGACATAATCTCGTCCCAAGAATGGCTTTGCTGTTTTACTTGTGATTAATATATAAATTTGAACTTAGTATAATGATTTTGACATAAATAAGTAACAGAGAAGTAAATTTTTTCCATTATTCAAACACTGTCTAGTGCAATTAATCAATCACTTGGCATTTTTTCATCTCTTTATTTTTATTCAGTTGATCAACTGAATAAAAAATAAAAAAATGCCTAGTGATCGATTAACTGCACTACATAGCAATTGGGATTGAATTAATTGTCAACATCAACCTTTTCCCACAGCCAAGAAAGCCTCTAATTTCACCTAGAAACGTATGAAGGACAAATCAACTCATGAGAAATAAAGGTTCAAAACAAACTAGAATATAAGATTGAGAGATCCAATGTATATAAACCAACTAAGAACACAGTGCCTCTCTTGTTTAGTTTTCTGTCTAGCCCATCATACACTCTTTCAGATAATTCCTGCCTGATCCAGTGTTCTCTATCTGCCATGTGACTCTTTCTAGATTACTGGTTACAATGAGATCATCAGAGATTTGTGTGCATTTCTCTGCAGCCTGTCTTCAAGTCCATCACCAAAACTTTGGTGTTCATCGCTTTCAATATCTAGAGCCTTTCTCCTTTGGAGAAATGAATGAACTTTCTTTGCTGGAATCAGGACAAAGAATCCTTGAACCTTTTGTAAACAATTGTAATATTCAAATGAATCAGATATTGCAAAAATATCTCTCTCAACAAACAGCTTTTTAAATGAAATAATGAGTCATCTTTCATCCTGAGCACCCTCATCCATATATGCGACCTTGCTCGTACTATCCAGTTACAGTGCTTTTCAATTCAAAAATCAGAAATTTATAAAAATTATTTGTTTATTTCAATATCTGACTGATTAAGATTATATAACCTCAGAGCATTGCTAAAACATTTGTAATAATAATTTCAAGTCTTTCTTGTTCTACAGTAATTTAAGTTTTTTTTTTTAAACTTTATTATAATTATTTTTCAAAATATTAAAATAAAAATAATTACTATTTGAGCATAAGTTGTCAGCAGAACAGCATATGTTCCAACTCTATCACATTGACATATTGAAAAGTTTTCTTTATGAACTGGATGACAACCTTCCATAGAAAAATGAACACTAAAATAAAAAAAAAAAAATTTATAAAATTTATTACTATTTATTATTGATATATTAAAAAAAAAAGAAAAGAAAAAAAAAATATATATATATATATTGTGGGGATCGATACGTATCGGCCTGGTAGGAGAGTAGGAAGAGGGTGGTAGCCGAGCCCGTGCGCCGCCACCCCCCGAAACGGCAAGTGGACTGGCCCACTAACGGCCTTTTCCAGCCCGGAGGGATCGATCCCCCGACGACTCGATGCAGTCTTTATTACGCAGCTAAATAAATATGCATCTGGTGCCGCGCAAGCCCGCTAACTGTCGAGGGGACTCGACGAGGTAGCAAAGTGCAGCGCCATTTTCTGCACGGCGCGCAACCTTGCACGGGAGGTGGTGGGTGGAGTGGGTTTATCTTTTTTCCCGTCTCAGACCGATTGCAAAATCGCGCACGCACCAGCGATTGGCATTTTTAAAAAGGACGAAAGGGAGCGAAGAAATGAGTGCAGAGCACTTTTTAAAACGGCTGCCGAGCTTCGAAATAAAATGCACGGGAGGAAAAAAAATCGTCAACTGGGCCAAGGACGCCGGCGGTAATCGCGCGCAAACTGGTGCACCCACTCTTCGACACATATGTCACAGGTAATAGTCGTCTCCGTCTCCGGCGCAGCGCTGTTTGAAACGCATCCCGGGCCTTGCAGTCGCGTCACAGCTGTTACCTGGATGCGGCCCGACGCGACGCGTTGCGAGTATCCTCCCGAGCGGCCGGGGTGCAGCCACGTTATTTAAAAAGCGACCGTGTAGTGGCGGTTGGGCCGCGACGCCATCACGCTAATACCCGGATGTCAAGCCATGGCTGTAAACACCGCGTCGCTTATAACATCATCACCTACCTGTTATTTTCGCCTGGTTTTGGTCGCCGGACGTCTGTTTACGACTAGAGACGTCACTAAGCGGCGTTGGTGCCACGCTAGTGACGCGTAACGTCACTTGTACGTTTTCGGAATCCACTCTACTCCACTGGTAACGACCTTGAAGAGGTCTTTCCTTCTTAAAGTCGAAA